GCTATCATACATTTACATTAGTCCAGCGAGGGCGCATTAAAAACCGATCGGGGTCGCCGCGTTGCCTACCCCTGGTCTAGATAATTTAATCGGTTTTTATCATCATTGTTTTTGTTAAATCTAACGGGATAAATTTTACATATTTTTTAACAGTCATTTGTTATTGATAGCTATCATATCATCTATGGATATATATGGAATCTGATATTTTTCTTTAATGGAATCGTCACACTTTTGCATAAATGTATACTCTTTAATAAAGACAGGCTGAAGATTGATTAGATTACTTAGTCTCTATAGGAGGAAATCTCAAACTTTTCTGACCCATGCACGCCTTTAACTACTGCTAGAAACTTATCCCCACTCCTTAACAAAACTTGAAAACTAGATATGCATTTACTCAGATTAAAATTATGTTTTTAACATGCTTTATTAGTTAAACAATAAAAAGAACAGAAAATATTGATGAATACCAAAACTTGAATAAAAATTCTTTTTTTTTTTTAAATATTCATATACTAAAACTAAAAACTTAACAGCTAAATAAAAGACTGACTGCATTCCTTCCTGAAACTATGAAAGTCACCCAAGGGGAAATACACCCCCAAACTGGGAATCCCTACTCTATAGGGACACCATTCATTTGTTGGAATATTCCACAATTATTTTATATGTAGTTATTAAAGAATGTGCAGTTAACAAATGCAATACATTTTCATTGTGCAATAATTTCCTTTAAACAAATAAAAAGCTACAAAGATCTGCAAAATTGTAGCAATCTGAGGCGATCCGGACCACATAGAGATAAGTAAATCGTGTGCGCGGTCCCTGCAAGTCACCACTTCCAAGCTTTTACAATGCATCACACAACGTACTTCTGACATTGCAGATGCAATAATTCGATCCAGTTAACAGTGCAAGAGACATAACTTCATGACTAGTGTCAGGAGATTTAAGCATTCTGCAACGTGTCTGCTCACAAAGCCTCTCAATTTCAGGAGGGGTGACAAACCAATGATCTGATTTTTACTCCGATATCCTTCCAGATATAACGAATCAGAGGATGTAAAATACAACTGAAAAATTAAGAAGGCATGGTTCAGTTTGAAGGTTTTTGTCATCGGAAGGCTCCAGAACTCTCCACTAGAGAGACCTTTGTTAGCAGACTCCTCACACTATGAGGACTATAATTCATTTCAATAAATGTCTATGCTATCCACGATGTATTCGCAAATGTACCCAATTATTATAAGGAGTCAGATGCGCTACCTGCCATCACTCAACCCAGTGGTAATCTGACAGTTACTCCCACCACAGCAGTAACAGCCTCCCAAATTAATATTATTAGTAATTTGTTTTTCGACGCTTTTGATAAATACTGCAAAACTTTATAATTATAGTATTTTTCTGTCTTTGAATAGGACAGACAGCAAAAATAACTCCTTTGGAACAAACCTCATTTGCTCAGACAAAATGTTTGGCCTCTCACTAAATTATTATATACAGTTTAAAACTTTTAAATTTATGTCTTTAATGATATATTTGTTCTAAAACAAATTTTAAAACAGATTTATAATTTAGTTACTCGTTACAGAATCAATTTCCCAAATCCTGAATTTCCGGATTTGAGAAAGTAAAAAATCCTAAATTCTGGTTATATCAGTCCCAGAATCATCCCCAAGTGGCAGAAGTGGCAGAAAAATGGGCATTAAGATTGATTCACATAAATCTATCCCTTGAGAAAGATCTTGCCTGAAACAATCATACATCTGTCATGTACCTTTGGATTTTTATGCGTTTGCTTTTAAGTTATCAATGAAACTACGTTAAAATTATTTTTCAGTTGGCAGGGAAATTAAATTATGCCCCCCCTCCAAAAAAAAAAGAGTAATCTAAACTGGACACAAATTGATATGCATATAGATTTTTGACAGAAAATGCAAAATTTTAAAGTTTGGTGGCCAATGAAATGAACAAGTGACACCCTATTTGAACTGCACAACTGGCAGGATATTAAAGAGAAAAAATTTCAATTGCAGGTCATAAACTCTTTACAAATTTCATTCTGTGTACTCAGACAGTAACTATGACTTGCATATAAAGGTGCACAAACAATATGCACAGATGTCAGCATTTGAGAGAATACGATAGTCAGGTTCAACAAAGCTAATTAGTGTAATCAGCAAACTGTTCAAAGTTTGGATAGGAACAATTCCACAATATTGGCTAGAAACGGGTGAACAATGGACGAACACAATATCAAGAAGGAAGCAGTAAGCCTAGAAAGACAAGATCATGAGGACCGATCAATTGTCAGAGGGGCATTCAGATCCCCAGATTCATCATTATCATCGATCCTTTGAGTAACTGGTGCTTCAGTGGCTACAAAGACCATTAATAGGAGGCTCAGAAAGTCGTCCATGCTCACGCCACCCCATGTGATGACTACCATTGACCTCTGTACACTAACAAGCCCGTTAACAGTGATGTTGGGAACACTTAACCTGGAATGTCACTGACTGGAGTTAAATCATCTTCAGTGATTAGGGCTGCTTCGAACTGAGCCCCAATGACATGTCATTTAATGTCTAGAGACGCTATGGACAGCAGTGGGTTACCAACTTGATTGTCGCCTGCTGTAAGGCTCAACAACCAGGAGTGATGGTCTGGGCTGCTATTTCCTTTAAAAGCAGAACACCCTTGGTTGTCATATGTGGAACTCTTACAGCACGGCTGGACGTCGATGACATTCTATGGCCTGTTGTGTTGCCCTTTACATCACACTATCCCCAACTTACATTTCAGCAAGCTAAATGTCCACCTGCACACAGCAATAGTTTTTACAGCTTGCAACAACACTTCCTTGCCAACACTACCTTGGCCAGCAAGGTTGGCAGATCTCTTCTCCGTTGAGAATGTTTCAAGCATTATGAGCATTTCACAGTAACATATATCTAACAAGCTCAGGATTTTGCCAATCTAATGCACCAGCTTGGCAGATTTTGGCACAATATCCTGCAGGAGGACATATGCCAACTTTACCAATCAATGCCAAGTCGAATAACTGCTTGCATAAGGGCCAGAGTTGAACCAACGCATTATTGACTTGCTCCTTTTGTGAAACTCTTTGTTTTGAATAAATATTCTGAATTGTAATCATTTGTTTTTCTGCACATCTACCAATTTTCCTCTTATTTTGATAACTTCTTCTTGGCGCTTTTTTTTTTTTTTTGTCTTAGAGTGTACATTAACTTTTGGTATTGTTACATAAAAAAAGTTCACCGAAATGGTTCGAAAGTGATCAAGGAAAAGGACTCGTTATCCAGGAAAATGCCACAGGAGTTAAGTCCACTCATGCGACCGGAAAGGTGCTATCTTTCCCTTTCTGTAACTGAGCTGCTACATTTACCTTTTATTTAACCAAGAAAACTTATGTTTAGTTTCAAAATAAATATTTAAAAAGACAACTGATCTCTGTATTTCCATCACGGTAGTTTGGGAAACATTACAGTACATTAACTGTTTGTAATGTATAAAGAAAAAAATTCTGCATGGTTTCTTAATAAGGGTTATTAAGAAAAATTATCACTACTTACCACTATTTACTTTGAATTGGTCTTTATATTCTAAGAAAATTAATTTAAATTTTATGAATATGAATTTACACAGGCTGTTCCTAAACTCATGGTACACATGTTAGGGGTGATAGAACACCTTATAATGTCTACTGCGAGTAGTTAAAGGCATTCATGAGACTGTGAAATTGAATCTCATCTGTGTTTTAATACTGTTACTAGTTAATCCATGAACATAATAAAATCGCTGTTCACAGGAGTGACCTTCATTTGTATTGTGAGTGGAGTGACCTTCATTCATTGTACCAAGAGTTTTGAACAAGACGCATCCCAGATGTCAAAACCTTACAGTGACTGCATTAACAACTGTGTGTGAAAGAGGGTCCTTTTCAAGTTGCAGGGAGAATACTAGACATGAAAGGAGTGTAAGAATGCCATCCATGACAAAAAATATTTTGCAACATATGAGAGAGAGCCCTGAATGTAGCATGCAAGCATTATAGCATGCTGTTAATGTGTCTTATCAGAGGGTGTGGCATGCACCTCAAGAGGAATAAATGCACACCTACCATGTGCAGATGGTTACGAACCATCAAATACGCATTACACATCACATATCGCATTTGTCACAGACTGCCGTCCAGAATTTTCAGCACATACATTATTCATTGACTAATGTATATTCGAGCACAGGGGATATTGAATATCATAACCACCATGCCTAGGCAACTGATAATCCACAGACTATGAGCACAAGATTGTTTCAGCACAGTTTCCAAGTAGATGTTTAGGCCACAACAATTTGACTGTTCCATATCTGCTACCAAGTTGCCTGGATGGATATTCATACATCATGTTTTTGTGAGAGATGCTGCTCAAACTACCGAACCAGTAGACATTAAAAGATGCCTGTGGTCCCAGCATGACGAGAAACAGCCCATTATGACATAAATGTACAGAATGCCTTGGATAACATGCATCCACAAGAATGGATTGGTCCTGGTGGCCCAATCAACTGGCTGGTCCCTTTATCCAATCTATCATGTCTGTACGTTTCCTCTAGTTAAGCTTGCTGTACTGTTAGCGTCATTTTGAGCAGTAGCTGTGAGTGGGGATATAATTTCATTTTGTTTAATAAAGCCTTGTTTTTATTTCAATGGAAGCCTTTCATTCCACTTGCCTACGTTTTTCTTATCATTTTATGACAGGATGTCTTACCCTCAACACCTTACCACTTGAGTTATGACTATAGGTTGTGTGATGAATTGTGCTTGTCCAGCTGTGTTTTATCTGCCTCTAATGCATGTACCATGACAGTAGGAAGACTACATACATATAAAAAACTGGACAGAAAAAGAACATTTATAAACAGTTTCAATACATATGTTACTATGAAAACACAGAGACTAGGTAAACTTCACATACCTTAAAACAGTTAATTTGTTATCAATATTTCTACATGATGCATTATGAAGCTTTTGAAACTTTGAAGATATGAATCTGAAAATGAAGTTTTAGATCTCGGTGAATGTATAAATAAATAATAAAACACAATACTTTTGAGAAGAATAACAATTGTTGATGAAAATAATTATTTCTCCCCATTTTTAATAAATGCATATGGTTTAGTTTAAAATACAACTAAAATGATAGTAATTAAATAGGAATTTAAGAACTGGAAATGCAAAATTGTTGCTATGTTGCAAGTTACTACTATCATACCTACTGAATCAGCAGATCATCAAAATACCAGTTGATTCACCATCAGGTTGACACAGATTTTGAATATATTGCTACCATTTTGAGGGTGATCACACACAGACCATCTGCTTCATCAGCAACATTTGTTTTTTAAATGGGAGAAACAATTATATCACAAACAACAGGTGCAGCAAAGTAAAAAAAAAAGTAGAACCATCTGTCAAGAAAAATAATAATGAAATGTGAAAGATTTAAGATGTTAGAATTCTGAAAGGATGGGAGAACTGGATTAGAATTAACAATGTTAATTAGAAGATACATTTTTGTTAATGCGAAAAGCTTGGAGAAAACTCAACACACGAACAGAAGTTATATATTTTTTGCATAACCAGTCAACTGTGATTAAATGTCCACCTATGATTAGCTAATTCAAGGTACTTTTACTTCTTCTTTTGAAACATAATGTTTATGTTCATTGACATAAAATTCTAATGCTTTTTTTTTGGTCAATAAATTTAAAACCAAACTGACTAGATATGTTATAAATTCACAAAATATTTAAATCAGAGATGAGGAAGCACTTTAGTTTTGATCAAGGCTAAAATAATAGATCTTTCATTAAAACTGACTGCACAAAGCTGTTCTTAAATACAGGAAAATACATACATATAAGGTATGCTGAACAGAATATGCCTCAATGATCTGCAAGTTGCAAGGCAGTTAGGTCACTGTGAAAAAGCAAAAACAGCTATGGAAAATTTAACATTTCAGTGTTTCAGGTGCAGGCATGAAAATCTTAGACAGCAAGTATGAGAAAATCACACATGAAATTTTTTAACAGGGAGTTAAAAAGCCAGCATTTGTACAGCAGAGGTTCATGATACCTATATAAAAGTTTTGAAAACTTCCAAAACAGATTATGGAAGCATTATTTGGAAGCTTCACATTATTAAGAGTAAGTAGGTGAAATTTATGTCAACTAATATTATTAAGACCAATTTTTATCCAAATCTTTAAGGTGACAAGAATCCTAATTTGAGAGTGGCTTCTTAATATACATATAACATTTGAAAACAAGCCAATTTTACTCCGAATATTCCATATTTATTGAAAACAAAATACGTTGAAGACATACATCATTTCCTTAAATGTTTTACTTATAATGACATCCTCAGGTTGACTATAAGAACACTTTCTTGAGACCAAATTCAAAATAGAAAAAATATACCGAATATTGTTTAGGATGTACAAGACGGGATCAAACAAAAGTGCAAAGACTAATGAATATCCACACCTTACCAAGGATTTCATCCCAGGTGAATTAGCGGGGGAAAATACTGTTAACCTTCACACAGACTGGGTGGCTTAGTTCTTATTTTAAGGAGTTAAGTTTTTTTTTTTTTGTATGTTTCTAATGCTTTTGAATGAACTGATGTTGATTTTAATCTGTAAGAGAAATGGAGCTTATCAATTTCATATTTCAATTTTTCACCTTTGCTTTAAAGAAGAATTTACCATGCTCCAGAGCAAGCACACATTACTTTAATACAAACTTGAATGCTTTACAAATTAAGCTAATTAGGGTTACCTTCATCCTCATTTCCCCAGACATGTCCTCATTTTCAAGGATTAATGTTTGACATGAAATTTTTAAAAATCAATACACATATCTAGAAATCTGACACGTAGATTACAATTTAAAAAAATCTTTAAATAATGGAAGTTAAGGATCTACTTAGAGAGAAGATAGAAGTTTGAAGAAAATAAGAATTTCTGAAGTGCTGTGAAAATGTCCAGGGGTTGTTTAGAATACCTGAACATGTGGATTAAGCTATTTATGGAAACTTTCTACTTTAAAAAGGCAGAACCTGAAAGCATTTCATGTGCATAAACTGAATATATGCAAGGCCAGGAAATCAGTTTAGATCAAAATGAATGCTTTAACTAATTCTGCAGTCTAAAGAAATTTGAACTATAAACAAGATTGAAAACCCTAAGTCAGCATCATTTTATCACAAAATACAGCCCAGTTCTAAGATTCATATGTCATTCTCAGCTTTGGAAAATTATACATATATATTTTTTTGCCATTCAAAGATGCAATGCTCGTATGGAAAGAGGCTTCTTAATTTAAATGTAGTGAACTAAAAAGAGGAACTGACTTCTTGCAGAGCCAGTGGAAGTAGTAATTATGATAATGTGGTTAACAAACTGACATTTAAAAGCAAATCTAATGAACAGAGAAATATTAACGGGCTCTTTATTGAAATTATCCACAAATGGAAGATGAGTGATTGTACTTTGATTAAACAGCAAAATTCATTATTATAGTTGGATGCATTTCTATATGAACAACCAGGCTACAATGATTTCTGAAACAGACAACTAAATATGCAGCATATTAAATAATATTTCATTTTAACTGCCTAAAATTAAATGATTTTTATTCATTGTGTAAATCTAAATCTGTAAATGTTACTTAAGAGTTAAAGAGGGCCTAACTGGTATGGTGCACTCAATTTTTTTTTTTTTTTTTTTTTTTTTAAATTTCAAAACATGGTAAGCTAATATACATTATGAAGCACTGTGACAATATTCCTCAAATTTTTAACTTTGATTCACATGCATATAATTGTGATTCATTGCGATACACCTGTATATCATCAAAATTTTTATGACCCACATACATAAAAGTTGCTTTGATGAAAGGAGATTTCTATGAAAAATATAATAATGAAATAATAAACATATTGTTGCGACTCTGATTATGTTTAGCACGTCCCGTTTCTTATTTAATACTTTGTTTTTTAATTTTGTTTGATGTATGAATCTGGCAACCAGTTTTATTTTTGAACGTAATGACTGAAAACTTCACATTCTAAGCAGTTAAGTTATGTTACTGAAATACTGAATGTTTTTCATCATTAAGATGTTGACACATTTGATCACATGCTAAGCAGTTAAGTAAGCAGCAGTTAAGTTACGGAAATACTGAATGTTTTTCACATTAAGATGTGCGGACCATTTGATCACATTCTAAGCAGTTAAGTTACGTTACTGACATACTGAACGTTTTTTCATCATTAAGATGTATGGATCATTTTGATCATTATACTAAACACATAAATAATTACATTTACCTGTATGTGTTCATAAAGTGAAATAAATTGGATATAAAACAAAATTGGATTTCAAGTCAAAACACATATACAGGGTAAATAGGAAATCATATTCATCTCTAAACAGCTGGTAAAAAGAGCCAGCTACAGCTATGAATGTATTGTCTATCAAAAGAATACGTAGCTACAGTACCCACAACATTCAGAACTTAACAAATCCCATCTCAAAAACTATGACAGATATAGGGAAAAGACAGAAAGTTCTGAAACATCATTTGTATATGATAAATAATTGCCTGTATGGTCAAAAAAGTCAAAAAATATGCTTAAGTTTTCTTGCAACAAATGAGGAATAATGACAAATATATGAGTATAAAAATATAATTTAATGATTAAACAATATGCTTTATATACAACTCAATGACATCGCTCAATAAAACACAACATGCAAATGAACTTGCATTGCATATAAGTTAATGCCCAGCATGCTTGAAGAGGTTACCATTGATGACAATGCATTTTTGCATTTGGAAAAGCTTTTGAGAATGAGTATTCATCAATAATAAAGGTGTTATTTTATGATGTGTACTGCTACATAGATTCAGGAGACAAGACGTGTATCATGTACACATGAATTTTTTATGTAATTCCAGAATAAATCAACTGTACAATCAAGGTTCAACAAAATTCAGGGTGTTGCCACTCAAACAGGAGAATGAAATTCCCTGACTTATCCAGGTGTGTTTTAAGAAAATAACAGTCTATCCACGTAATGCACATTGGCTGTGCTAAGAGGTAAATTAATTATGATATTGCTTTAAAAGACAAAAATTTGCGAATTACATATGACATACATATATATAAGCCCCAAAGCATTACTATTATAACTATAACAGGAGTTATTTTTGCCACTCAAGATTGGGATTAGAATCTGCCGAATCTGGATTAAAAATGTCTTTTTTTTTCCCAGACATTTTGCAGATAAACAAAAGAAAGAAATCTATTTAATGATATTTTAAAGTTAATTCAGGTATTTTATATTTATTTAGCAGCATGCATAAGCAAAAAAATGCATTAAATTTCGTGATGGTATGTCATCATACTGCTAGAATTAATTTCAAGATTACGCCAGAGAAAAATTCCTGAAATTTGAAGTAATCCTAGTATACGATACTATGGAGGTTAGAATCAAGGAATATGTATTATTAAGAAGTAAAACGTCTCTGCAACACGAGTGGCTCTGTTCCAACTTACAGCAAAACAGCTGCGCATAAATATCTGTCGCTAAAGCTCGAAGCCAGTGTTGTAGTTCGAAAGTCATGTTATCGAGTTCATAAAATGAATATTGTTTAAAATTTATTTAAAATTATAAATATTTGTTTCCTAAATTCTAACCTCTATAGTACTCTTCATATTCTAACCTCCATAGTACCGTATACTAGGAAGTATTATTTACTAATAATAAATAAATTTAGAGGAAAGAAGTAACATTAAATGATACGAATAACATAAAAATAAATATCATTACTTAAAAACTGAAATGGAATAATCAACGATATTTTAGTGAATATAGTTAGCCTAGAGAAATATAGTTAAATGGTTAGCCTAGAGGACTGATTAATATTTTTTATTTTACTGCACAATAACAAATAAGGCATTTATTATAAAGAAGAAAAAGGCTTAAAAGATTCTGCAGTAAAATCCTAGTATAAGGTACGGCTTTAACACGATTTTAAAAATTGTCACCAATACCAAAATGGCCTGTTTGCTGCTGATCATAATGTCTTCAAATCCCGTGTATACTGTACATGGAGGTTAGAATATATGGAGGTTGTTCTAACTAAAAAAGTGTCTATGTAAAGAAGGAAAGGCTCCATAGACATAATGGTATTACACCACTAGAAAGCAGAGGAAAAATCGTCAAGGGATTTGACGATGGAAGCTGGCTGTCAGAATTTCCCTCTCCGCGAGGTGTATGGGAAATTGAAAAAACGTTCTTTGACAAAACATTTCTTTTTTGATTTTTTGCAATAATTTAAACATGGATTTTCGTAGCTCCCCTTTCAAAATAACTAATCCATTAATTTACTTGCTCGAAAAGATATTTTCTTTTCCTTTAAAATTTAAAGAAATTTTAAACAATATTCATTTTATGAACTCGATAACATGACTTTCGAAATTCGACACTGGCTTCGAGCTTTAGCGACAGATATTTCGTGCATGCGCAGCTGTTTTGCTGTAAGTTGGAACAGAGCCACTCCTGTTGCAGAGAGGTTTTATTTTTTAATAATACATATTCCTTGATTCTAACCTCCATAGTACCGTATACTAGGAACAAACCGATTTTTTTTTTATATGAGAATAAGTGTTTTGTTTAGTTCAACATGCACTGCACATGCGCATGCGATTCTCGAGGTTACTGGAAACTTGCCTTGCCTTTCTAAAAGACAACGCTCACGTGATACACAATTCGCAAGAAAGTGATCACTTCCAACGTCGGCGCAAAACGTGCTTTTGGGGGGTCGCCATAAGAAATTAAATGACTTTTCCAGATTTTGACTAAAAAATTTAAGTTCCTTGACTTTTCCCTGAATTTTTTGGCCAATTTTCGAATTCCCTGACTTTTTCCGGTTTTCCAGGTAGTTGGCAACCCTATTAATTGAAGTTCTGTTCACACATGCCCATATTTTGATTCAAGATGGTTTGCATTTGAATACACTTAAAAATAAAATGCCTGTTTTATAATTAAGACACAGTAACACGCCGCACAAATACTAGTTCAGAAGTCAAACAACAAAAATCAGCGTTTTTCATAAATTTCTGTGAAAATTTTGAAAATATAACGCTGATTTTTGTTGTTTGACTTCCGAATTAGCCTGTTTTATAGTTAGTGAAAATTCCTGTTTCAAATAAACAAAATATCACACTGTTTTTGAGCATTTTAAGCTATACTGGTGACTATTTTATCTGCATGAACATATTTTTATATAAAATGAATGATGGTTTAACCCCTTAGCTTACAATGATGCTTCAGAGGCGTCGCAAGGTTATCGGACCAAACATGAATAAGACATCTCAGAGGCGTTGCAAGGTTATTGGCCCAAACATGAATAAGATGCCTCAGAAGCATTGCAAGATTATCGGCCCAAACGCGAAAAAGACGCTCTACCGGGCGAAACATAAACAAAACATTTCAGAAACTTGATGGGGCCTCTGCCCCATGAGAGACATTCCAGAGGCGTGAGTTCAGTTACTTCTCTTTCGCATTCGACATTATATCGTTTATAAGAAGTATTATAAAATCACCCATTATAATGTCTTCAAAAAGAAAAATTAGCATTGAGAACAGGGATGACTTTGCTACCAGTAGTAGTGACAGTGGTCGTGACATTGTACGTTTCGCACGAAAAGCTACTAAGCAACTGTTGATTAGCGAAGATTCCGATAATGAAAATTATTATCAACCACCTGAGTTGTGGATCTAAGGGAAAAAAACGAGAACCAACCAAAAATATGGCAATATATGGAAATTCTCGGAATAAAAGCTGCAACATTAGATCAGTCGAGTACAAGCAAAGAGGAAATGGAGGTTTTTAATATAATGTTTAATATTATATTTTGGGAAAATCTTGTGACGGAGACAAATCTATACCCAGAACAAGTGATAAATAATGAAAATAAAAGAAGAAAAATTGATGAAGCTTGGTTTCCTATTGACTGTGATGAACTAAAAATATATATTGCCCTATGTATAATTACGGCTGAAGTGAAGAAACCCGCAATTCAAATGTATTGGTCTAATAGGGCCGTTATTGCAACTCCAATATTTAGAGAAACGATGCCGTACAAAAGATTTTTACAAATAAGTAGATTTTTGCATTTTGCAAATAATGAGGTGGCCAATAAAAGTGATAAATTAAGTAAACTAAAGTCCGTAATAAATTATTTTAACCAACAATTCCAAGAAATATATACTATGCAAGAGGGCATTGCAATTGACAAATCATTAGTAAAATTTAAAGGACGTTTATCCTATACGATCCGTCAAAAAGAGCGAGATTTGGTATAAAAGTTTATAAATTATGCGAGTTCAGTACAGGTTGCTGCTATAATTTCAAAATATACACTGGCCGTGACAAAATACATACTACAGAAAATGCATCTGAAACTGTAGTCAAAGAACTATCAAAGCTAATTTTACACAAAGGACATACATTATATTTGGACAATTGGTATTCTTCACCAAATCTTTTTGTAACTCTACTCAACAGTAAAACTAATGTCATTGGAACAATGCATGCAAACAGAAAAAATATGCCAAAAGATTTCTTGAACACAAAATTAAAAACAGGAGAATATGAAATGAGAAGCTGCAATGGATTACTGGCAATAAAATGGAAAGATAAACGAGACTTTTTATTCTATCTACAATACATAAAACAGTAGCAATGACTGAGCAAATCAAAAAGCAACACAATCCTACTTGGAAACCAAAGTGTATCGTCGAATACAACAAAGGGATGATAGGAGTTGATCGACAAGATCAAATGCTAGCATGCTTCCCTCTTATGAGAACGTGTATGAAGGGGTATCGGAAACTTTTCTTTTACCTGTTTGACATGGCGTTATTTAACTCTTTCATTTTGCATAACAAGATAAATATTGAAAAAAGACAGGGATATGCAGAATATAAGGTTAAAATAGCTAAATTATTATTGGAAAATACACCATTATGGAACTACAACCATAAAGGACAGTTGTCAAATGGAGATTTACCACTAAGATTGCAGGCTCAACAGTGGAGTCATTTTCCCAAACATATAGATCCAATGCCGTCAAACCAACACCCAAAACGAAGATGTGTAGTTTGCACAAAGCATAAACAATGCAGAGAGACAACGTGGGAATGCAGAAAGTGTAAAATTGTATTACATGTACCAACATGTTTTGAGAGATATCATACTGTCAAAGATTACTAAATTTTGTATTAAAACAAAAATGTTATTATTAATGGATTATATAATTTGCAACAATAAATCTTTTTTTTTTTTTTTTGTTTAATAATCAACCAACCATTCGTACAGTTTCGAACGCTGAGCAAAGTTGTTTATATTCATGCGTGCAACCGACTATGGTGTCGCTTTTGGTCCGCACATTTGGAAATTAGATCATAAGGGTTAAAACTTTGTAACTGGCCTCCCTCCATAATTTTCAAATGTTTAAACATGATTACTATGTTCTGAATTTCACCAGCAGAGAGATGCAATTGACTTAACTTCACATAACATGGTCCTTTTACTACAGCTAAACATTACCTGAATAGCTACAGGTGACTGTTCATTAGTTATTTAGGGATAAATGGGATTTCCTACTCACATGTTCAATATTGACAATTAATTAGCAAATATTAAAAAATTCATAATAACAGAATAAACACAAAATCACTTCAAATCTTTTTATAGCCCACCCAAAATTATCTCCTTAGCCACACACTGAGAACCATTGTGCTGGGATATGATGATAAAAATAATATTGAAAATTACCTCCAACTACAAATATTACTCGTTTAAGAATAAGTTAATTGAAAACACCAAAACCAAGCACAAAAACTTCTGATTAATAATATCAAAGTCTTAATAAAAAAATAACTGTTTATAGGGAGAACACCAGGGATCCTTTAGAAGGCCTCAGTCACATATAATTTAAGTGATATTTGTATTTATATCACACATATACACGCCACAAAAAACACCAGCATAATCGGTTCATTGAAACTGGTAAACCATAAGTTTTTAAAATAATACATTCTGAATAATGGCTTGCAAACACCATAACATAATAATAACAAAAAGAAATTTCCAATTTAGAAAATGTAATTAAAATGGCATATCTAAGAAACTAGAAAATTATTTTCAATAAATGATATGGTTCATAAAATAATGTAATTTAACAGGGCAGAAATTATTTACCTGATTAGAGCTAAGGTTTCTTTATACATAGTATGCACCCTATCTGTGTCAATGTAACTATGTTCCATCGCATTACCAGTCAAAATAAAGTATAACACAGCTTCTAAGTACTTCATAGCCTGAACCATACGATCTATCTAAAATGAAATGACACCTGTAGTATTAGATGCTTTAAAAATCACAGAAGCATGAAAGTAAACATCATACATTACTGGCCAATAAAAGAAGAAACTATGCATTAACATTAAGGAAAATAACACCTATAAAAGAGATACTTATTACATATATAACTCATGATAAAAAAAAGGACGGAATAATAACAATTCGGTGTGAATTGAGGAATATAAAACAGCCACCAGAATGGACAGTTATAACTGCTGCTATACAGCCTACAAAACTGTTACAAATGTGTAACCATCTGTGGTGAGCCAGTTGTAAAAATATATACCAAAATTATTCAACAGAGGAAAAGGTGGAGCATGATGGTAATCTATGAATTACTGTATTTTGCATACTATATGTTATCATGCACTGTCATGTTGGTGACTAGCCTGAGATATGCTTTGAAGATATGGAACAACAAGCTCCATCATGTCAGAGATGTTGGAGTGCTATTCAGCCCACAAGGTGCAAGAGGGAACTCAGTACACCTCATGCCATAACATCTGTTGCTGTTATGGATAAATGTACTGTAGGACTTAAGTCTGCCTGCCAGATAAAGATGTGGCCATTTTTGATCATATTTGCTTATAAAAGTATATTTTTGAGTCTTAATACTTGGCAACATTAATGTTTTGTTTAATGTTAGAAATTGAAATAATGTATCTGATATGAGTACAGAATATTATGATTTTTAAGAATGTGGTAATGCTTGCTATGATAAAATGTTCTTGTCTTAATAAAGTCTTTTATTATGCATTAATTTTCAATGTTTCTTTTTGAAGAAATTGTTTCTTAGAATATATAACACTTAGAAATTATCAACAACTGGCAGCAGAGCACGGCTGTCCCCTCTGCTTATGAAATTTCATATAGAACATATATGTCATTTAGGTTTAAGAACATCTTCTTTAAACACGTGCTTCTTTAAGGTAAATCTGATTTATATAATTTGTGAATATAAATTAGAAAAAAGAAAAATATGGCAGATAATATGATAAATTTGACTCACATAGAAAACTTAACTGATTATAATTATACAGAGAAATAAAGTGAATTAAGATGTCTAAAAAGTAAGGAGAAGTGCCATTAAAGCTGATGAACCATCAAAACCACATGAAAGATGCCATGCTAATCATGGAAGTGAAATGAAAACTTGAGAGATGTGGAATGATAATTATGAGATAGCAAGAAATATAATTAATGAATTACACTATAACAGCTCCACAAGATATGCAATTAAGAAAGCTCCACATTAAGATATGCATGCGAAGAAGATAAGAATCTTCACATTAAGATAAGAATGCGAAGCAACACACTAAGATAATGTGAAGAAGCTACGGAAAAAAAAAAAAAAAAAAAAAAAAAAAAAAAACTGAAATGGTGACAAAAAACAGAAAATATTCAAATCAAGTGTAGAATCGAATTAGCTCAACTGAAGCTGAAGCAAAATGAATTTGTAGATGATTACAAAAATACTGTAATTCTGAAAAGTAAAAGCATTCAAGTGTGGGATGAAATAAAAGAAAAAGAATCAATTTACTTTAGATTAGGACTTTGGAATGAATACGAATTTGACATCAAAATCATTAAAAACAACAGAGAAAAGTATATAAACAGAGAGCAAGAATTGGAAGAAACTCAAGAAAAAATAAACATAGTTGAATTAAAGGCCAGAATTAAAGGCCAGTTTACACCTGTCAGAGCAGCTTGGAGCAAGCCACTCGTTACAATTACTTTGACAATGTAAACACTCACTTCGCTGTAGCAGAAACGTAGGGAAGATGAGTCAGCACTTCCGTTTCTAATTTGAACCTGTTGAAAAATCTATCTGGGCAGTTACTCCAAGCAGCGTTCGCAGGAACGTCGTGACAGCGAGTTATATGTCGAAAATGCTGAGATTGAGCGATAGCCAAACAATGGCATTTTTTAATGCATACGCATCTCATGAAGTGTTAGGAAACACTTCACTGCTTCATTAATAAGTTGAATACTTCTATAATTATGTGAGCTTATATTCATTCTTCTACAAGCATCCCTACATGAGAATTCAATAAATATATGATATTAGAAACTATAAAAATAAAAATGGAATTATGAAAAAAATATGTAGATCTGTTTTATTGGGGATATTTAAATTTGTTGCTTTGTATAAAAAATTTCTGGGCTATAATTTAAATTTGTTGCTTTGTATAAAAAAATTCTGTGCTATATTCATTACAATTCAGCTTGGATGTGAAATACTGAATGCAAGTACTTAAAGTGTATTAAGGTTTATACAAATTATGCTATATGAATTCTAATCTTCTTAAACTATCCGTTTTAGCATTTAAAAAGTAAAGCATAATCACTATATTTAATCATTATTAATTTTGTTAATATCACTTTATTTGTGCGTTGTCCAGAAACACAATTTCAGTAGGATCCAAAAGTAATAATTTGCGATAAATACCTTCTTGTTGGAATTAAGTCCTTTTATCTGAAATACAATAAAGTTTTTGTAACTTTGGACATCCTCATCCAAAATTCATTTAATTGTTGATTTGATACTCCTAATTCATCGTGGCAAGTTACCCAGTCACGTACCCATTTCCTTTTCTTCTTCTTCCCCCCCCAAGAGTAGAAATTAATTCAATTGAAACTGCTTCGCACACTTCAAACACTGCAGCCAAAGAACATTTATGTATATTCAATGCATATTCTTTGCTGCAGCTGCCACATCGGTATCCATTTCATAAACAAATGGAAGTTGTCAGTCCACTCTGATTGGTGTAAACAATCTGTCAGAGTACAGGTCCGTTCACTCGCTTCAAGACGCCCGGACGAGTGGCTTGCTACTAGCTGCTCCGACAGGTGTAAACTGGCCTCAAGTTCTAAATAAAGCCAAAGGGAAATTGAACAAAACCAAAATATCATTAAATAAGTTGCCTTAACTGTGGAAAATTAGGACTTTTAATAAAAGAATTTTGTAATAATAACAAAATTTTTTAGTCCTGGAAAATTAGGCCACAGATTAACTGAATTTAGAAAGAAAACCAAAGAACACAGAAAGCCAAAAAAAATGTAACACATAAAACTCCTAGAATGACAAGCAAGGAAAGAGAATGTGAATTAGCTATATGTCTATGTGAAGCATCTAAGAAAATAGAAGAAAGAACAAAACTTCATCTTTTGATTAAGATAGAAATGATGAAGCGAATGGAAGAACAAGATAACAGAAAAATTAAATGGATTATAGAATCAAGAGCCACATCACACATGACAAGAAGTAAAGAAATATTTACCAGTTTTAAAGATGAAGAGCGAGTAAAAACAACAGCTAAAAAGGGAGCTATGATCAAATCAGATGGTACTAGTAACATTCAAATGTAAAATAGACAAAAATAAGAGCATTTTTAGAGCACAAAATGTTCTGAAAGTACAGAATTTAAGCACAAATTTACCGCTAGTACCAAAAATTTTAGACCATGATTTGAAAGGAATTTTTACCTAAATTACGTATTTAGCTAACAGAAATGAAACAAATTTTAAGTTGAAGGAAATATAATAGAAAAAATTAAAATTAGCAATGTTAATTATGTACTATGGCATCAGAGACTAAGTCACAAAATTAACAAAAACAGATACAAATAGGGGGGGACTCATTGGTCATTGGATTAGAACATGTAAAAATTTCCGAAAACAACTGTGAACCTTGCAAATTATGAAAAATAACATGAAAATCTTATAAAAGTGTGAAATTTAAGCAATCTGATGATATTTTAGAAATACGATATATAGATTTAGTTGGACTAACTAACAAATCAATTAATGGAAGTTGTTATTTTTTAACAGTGGTAGATGATTACAGTAACTTCACATTAGTGATCACAATTGAGAAAATGAGAGAAACTGCAGGCTCTTTAATCAAGCTTATCACCCAAGAAGAAAGAAAAACGGGAGGGGGGGGGCTAAAAGGAATTCACAAGGATAATGGAAGTGAATACTATAATGGAATATCTATAACCAAAACTATTAGGACTATGTTAATTGATGCAGAATCACAGACAGAATTTTGGATTGAAAGTATTAAAGTAGTTGTACCTCTGAATAACAGGAAGCACAGAAATGACAAAGGTGGAAAGATGGATCTAAAAGCTCAAGAGTGAATCGTGGTAAGTTATAGCATGAAGAGAAAAGCATACAAAATTTATATTCCTGAACTAAATAAAAGTCAAGAAGTAAGAGATATAAAATTTAATGAGCAGAAACTTTACTAAAATGAAAATATATAAAATTCAATAAAAATGAAACATAACAAAAAAAAAACCCTCATTATTTTTTACAAGGAACAAACTAATGACAGTGTAAACTATTCAAGAGTAACCGACAGAGATGAAATAATAGATCAAGAATCTGAGAAAATTTTACCATCAGACAGGGATGATGAATGGGTTGAAAACAATTAATTGGAAAAGACAATATTAAAGTAGCTGCAGATAAAGGAAAAAAACCTGGATGTAATAGTTATAAAAATTATATGCAGAAAATACCAGTGAGAGTGACGAAGCCAAAAGAAAAATTAAAAAATTATGTAGCATACAATACAAATGAAGTACTAAGACATATGATGAAGCACTATGAAAAACACAATTTACATTTCGTCAATTGGCCCAGTAGAACAGAAAATATAGAATTGGCTCTTTTTTTTTTTTTTTTTTTTTGTGCAGTGTACATATTTTGAAAATTTTAATTTATATTAAGGAAAGAAAGAGTTTATATAGAACATATCAAACAGCATAAATTTTAGTGTGAATTTAGATCGTTATAAAACGTAACGGCACAGCAATTTGGATTTATTTATTGCTAAATGCTTACTAACATATAATTAACAAACTATCTAATGCAAAAATAATAAGTAGTTTTTACCTGTTAGAATTATTATGCATTAATGTATAAATATATAATAAAGTACACTATCTTTGGCCTTTCTTCAATC